ATTCTTTTGGGTATACACCCAGAAGTGGAATTGCTGGATCATTCTTATAACCATTCTGTTTGTAATGTTTTGAAGAATCACCATACTGTTTTCCACAGTGGCTCTATCATTTTACCTTTCCACAAACAGTGCACAAGGGTTCCAATTTCTCCACATCTTCACCAATGCTCGTTCTTTTCTGTTTTTCTGATGGGAGCCATCCTAGTGGGTGTAAGGGGGTATCTCATTGTAGTTTTGACACGCATTTCTCTAATGACTAGTGATGTTGGCCATCTTTCCACGTGCTTATTGGCCATCTGTCTATCTTCTTTGGAGGAATGTCCAGTCCTCCTTGTTAAGCTCTCACACAGAATCTTTCTTCCAGGTTGCCCTCTTTGAACACACTTGAGTTTGCCAGCATCCCCCTTAAAAAGATCTATCAGGAGGAGCAGAAGCTCAGGATGCAGTAACATGGCCTTAGCTCCATGCCAGCTGGTAGACTTCAAGTTTCTCTTAGCTTTTCTAACAGCCATAAGGTACTTTTGCCCAAGCCTGAGCTCGTAGTCAGTGATAAATCTCCAGGCCCTTAAAAACTGCTTGAGCTGGTTTTCAGCCAGCTCTCATGTTTTGAATCAAAGGTCATTTGGCGAAGTTCCAGCCTGTTGCTCTAGCACAGAGTTTCTCAGCCTCAGCACGGCAGACGTTTGAGGCTTGGTAATTCCTTGCTGCAGAGGGACTCTGCATTCCTGTGCACCGCGGGAAATTCAGCAGCAACTCTGGCCTCTGCCCACTAGAAGCCAGTAGGCGCTCACCCCCCACGCCCAACCACGTGTTCCAGATGTTACCAAATGTCATCTTGGGGCAAAATCACCCTGGGTGAGGAACCACTGTTCTAGTAAATTTCAAGATGGGCCACTTGCTTTTGACTATTTGGAGAAATCTGAGATTCTGGAGGAATGAAAAATGCTTCTTAAAAGTCTGTTCTTTCCATGAAGCCAGACGACGAGAGACAGAGGTGGATATAACGAACTGGGAAAGAGACAGGGTCAGAAACTGAGAAGGACGCATCAAATAGATTTGCCACGTGCCTGGCACCAAACGCGGAGTGAACTCTTGGATTCTGTTACACAGGATGATAAAGTCCATGAATACATACTGATTTCCTTGTAGCAAAAATTAAATTATTCATTTCATTCTTCTTCCATCATGCGTGACTGGCTCTGGACAAATGTAAATAGGTCTAGTGACGAATGTGTTTTAAGAGGCTCACAGGGGATGGCAGTGGAAGACGAGCTCTCGAAGTAATTAAATTACTGGTTATTGGGTGTTTGCTCTGTATAAGCCCCTTCGTGGGCACCATGGGGGTCGAGAGGGTGAAGAAGCCACAATTCTGTGATGAGGCAGTGTTTCCCACATGCAGCACATGCAGCGCCCTTGGTGGGGGACCTGAGCTGTGCATGGAAGAATGTTGAGCGAGCAGTATTGATCAAAGGGGGATGGATGGATGGCGGAACTCTCTTCGATGGGAAGAGAGAAATAGATGAGGGTTAGTGTGTTAGGTTCCTACGGCTGCTCTAACAAATTACCACAAACGAAGTGATTTGAAACTACTCAAATTTACTGTCTTATAGTTCTGGAGCTCAGAGTCTAAGCCATTGGCAAAGCTGTATTCCTTCTGGAAGCTTCAGGGGAGAATCTGTTTCCTTGCCTTTTGTAGATTCTCGAGACTGCCCGCATTCCTTGTCTCACGGCCTCTGTCTTGTGTCACTCCAACCTCTTGCTTTTGTTACCACATCTTCTTCTCCGACTCCTACCCCCCGCCTCTCTCTTATGAGGACCCTTATGACTATAGTGGGCCCACGTGGATAATCCAGGGTAATCTTTACATCTCAACAGCCCTAACTTAGTCATATTCTGCAGAGTCTCTTTTTATCATGTCATGTTATGTTCCAGGGACTAGAATGCGGGCATCTTCAGGGGTTGGGGGACATTATTCAGCACAGTGCAGGTAGTAGGAAGAGAAAGTATGATTTCAGGCCAGAGGACACAAGTTACAAAGAATTTGGGCAAAATGGAGAAATAGCAGGCTGAGATGTGTGTGAACCAACAGCAGGGAGAATTTAATTAAGAGGGGTGCGGGGACTGCTTCAACATCAATTCCAGATACCTGGACAACCGTGCCCCTCCTAGTGCTAATGACATAAGAACAAGGTCCCGACCCAATCAGTTAGAAATTGCGGTCATTTTACAAATAAAAATTCAGCCTTAGAGGGTTCACTGATTCCTCCATGCCTCAGAGCTACAGAGCAACGGAGCTGGGAGCTGAACTCTGACTTTGGGCTCTACGGCTTGTAATTTCCATAAAGGCCACAAGAATATTTCTGATCTCACAGGCTCCTCCCCCCCCAAAGGTAGTGTCCAGTTCCCTTCCCCCAGAATGTGGGCCAGCCCTTATGACTGCCCTGGGGACAGTAAAGTGGAAGTGACCCTGCATGACTTCTGAGGCGAGGTCATAAAAGGTGATTGGCATAGCTGCCCCTGGGCACTTGCTGTTGGGGTGCTCACCCCTGGGACCCAGCTGCCATGTTGTGAGGAAGCCCAGGCCATATGGAGTGGCCACGGCCACGTGCAGATGTTCTGGCTGATGGCCAGAGTCAACTGCAAATAAGCCTTCAGGTGATTTCAGTCCCCAGCCTTTGGGGTTTCCAGCTGAGGCCTAAGACAGTGTGTTGCAGAGATTAGCTGTCTCCACTCTGCCCTGTTCATAATCCTAACCCACTAAAACCACAAAAGACAATAAATGATATTGTTTTATGCCACTAAGTTTTGGGGTGCTTTGTTATGCACCAATGGAAGCGGAAAGAGGCACTCAGCCCTAAGGCAGATCCACTCTCTTGCCTAAATATATCCCCAGTTTTATAAAATTTAAGTTGGTATGAGAAATCCTACCCCTGGAGGTCACTTGACTCAACCTTCCCCTCCTTCCTCCTGAGGCAGGAGCAGGTGCAGAACTGCCTCTGGGTGCCACACTGCACAGGAGAGCCACGGCTGGCCGAGGTGTGTACAGTGAGTTTAGTCTGCATGGGGGCACTGAGCGTTTGCTCGAGGAGGTGAGTGACACACTCAGAGCAGGTGTCAGGAGCCCATCATTGGCCGGGGTACCAGGCACAAGGGAGGTGAGGGAACTAGAGAGGGAAAGGAGGTGACTTAAGAGGCTGTAGCTGTAGCCATAGCCTGGAGGAGGAATGACTAGATCTAGAGTCAGGAAGATGCTATTGGACGGGGAAGGAAGGGTAGGTGGGAGTGAGAATGCCCAGGAACAGACGCCCCATGGCACAGAAGGTGGGGGTTATCAAAGATAACGTAGGGGGAAGAAAAAAGACAGTGAGAGTTTGCCCAAGGCCAGCAATTGACGAAGGGTGTGAGGACCAAGGAATGGTCATTAGCAATTTATTTAATAAAGAAATATGTATTGAGGTCTAGTGTGGAAGGCACAAGAGATGCAATGGTTGAAGATAAAGACAATTCCTGCCTTTGCTGAGTGTGTAGTCCAGTGGCAAAAACAGATGTGAAACAAAGATTTGCAAATGAAATTCGGGTTATGAAAGGTATGAGCAGGAGGCTGTGGGAATGTTGTTGATAGGTAAGGAGAGGTTTCTCTGAGGGGATGATGTTTGAGCTGAGATCTGCAGGCGGAGGAGGCGTTAGCCAGAGGCTCCTGTCCTCCTCAAGCTGGCGAGGCTGAAGGGTGGGGCTCAGGTGGCAGCAGCAAGCTGGAGGCAAGCAAATAAATTCAGGAGGTCCTGAGAAGATGGAATCCCCAGGACTTGGTGATGGGGGCTATGTGCGTGACGAAGGGGATGAAGTCCAAGCTTCTAGCTAGAACATGGGGGATGGTCGTGCCCTTCACCTATGCAAGGAGCACTGGGGGTGAAGGTGAATTTGGTTTTGAATACATCGAATTTGATGGACCTCTGAGGTTCCTAAGTAGAGATGCCTGGTAGAAATTGTTTGTATGGAACAAGGGAACAGGAGACATGACTGAGCTTGAGATGTACATTTGGGAGCCTAAAGTACACTGAATTGGAGACTCTACTAGAAGAGTGGGGTGTGGACCTCATGATGGGTTGGGAGCAGGTAGAGCTCATTGAGGGAAGAGACTGAGAAGAGCAATGGCCAGAGCTCACGAGGAGGATGAGGAGTGGCCAGAAGGGATGGAAGAGTGGGCCACTGGGGAGGGACCCTGCAGAGTTTGAGGTGTTGGAGCAGGTGTTGGTTTGAGTCCTAGGAAGGTTTACAGTTCCGCTAGCTCACTTTTGGTTCCCTTGACAGTTTTAGCTGAAAGATCACGGTGGACCTCCCTATTAAATGCCAAGCTTTCCAATCTTGCTGCATCTAAATATCATTTTTCTTGCTTTGTTTGGATTCACATGGTTTCCAAGACTGTATTTTGTGCCTGTTCTAGAGCGGGTTTTGGACATATGTTTGCCAACCACAAATACCTGGAGGAAGATGCTCTGGTCTTCCTCTGAGACAAGTTCAGTTGTTCACGAATTCACACTTTGGAGTGTCCATTTAACATCTGTCTAGCTTTGAGCACAATGAGTTACTTAAGTGACATTAAGCCTTTGTTTTCTCACCCAGGAAACAGGAATTGCAGCGCTGATCTCATAGTGGTGGGTGAAGATGAAGAGAGATAGGAGAAAGTACCCAGCCCAGTGCCTGGAGAATTTACAGATGCTTAATGAATGTCTGTTAAGTGAATGCACGATTAAGACATTTCCTTAACAGGTTGCAGCACTCACACAAGGTTAAATACCCCTCAAAGCATCAAAAGCACATAGAATGGAGCCAGCCCTAATGGCCTTGTGTGCTCTGTGTGTGAGCTAGTGTGGTGTGCTCTGCTTCAGTGGCTGGGGTTCAGTTCTGGGTCGTGGAACCACGGCACTTGTCTGTCAGGAGCCATGCTGTGACAGTGGCTCACATAGAAGAACTGGAAGAACTTACAACTAGACACAACTATTTACTGGGGCTTTGGTGGTGGGGAGAACGAAGAAAAAAGGAGGAAGACTGGCAACAGATGTTACCTTAGGGTGAATCTTCCCCTGCAAAAAACTAACAAAGGAAAAAACATATACAGTGATTTCCTTACCATGGATAGAAATTTCCTGGCTTAGCATATGGCAGGTTCTTAATAAATATTTATTGACTGATCTATTGAATGGAGTCATAGATGAATGCTGTGCCCAGTTCTCCCTCTGCAAGTAGCAGGAGAGGCTCTTTTAGGATACCAGCCATTTCCTTCTCCCTTAGCCTCACCCAGCAGAGCTGAGATGTCACCAACTTGGGGCCAAGGATGCCCAAAAGGAGATAGGGTGGGCCATCCTCGTGTCTGTCACTTGTTCTTTTCCAGGAAGATGCAGCTGGTTTCTGGCTGCCGTGGTGACAAACAGCAGGAGATAGCTGAGAGCATCTGTCAACAGGAGAGAACCCAGGGCAAGCCCTGCCCTAGACTGGGTACAAAGTATGCCCTAACCCCATCACTATGGAGAGTCAGCACTGGCCATCCTCAGTCCTTGAAGGCACAAGCCCCAACTTGGAAGAAACAGAAAACGTTTGCTGAGATCTTAGAATAGGTCCACGCCCTGAGATCTGCAGCAGCATATCATCGTTTGGACATGTTGTTTCTCAGCTGTGTGATTCCAAACAAACGTGTGTAACCTCTCAGCCTCAGCTGCATTTTCTGTGAAATGGGGACAATAAGACCTGTTTTAGGGTTGTTGGGAAGATGAAATGATAAAATGCATAGAAAATAGCTGGCACATAAGAGTTTCTCAATAAATCTTAATTCCCTTTGTCTTAGGCTCTCCATCTGATATCATTTAATTTCTTTTCTTTTTAAGTCATAATTCTTAAAACACCTCGTTTTCTAATTTATTTTCCAGGGTGATTCCTAGAGGCAGATACAGTGACCACAGTATGATATTTTGAAAGCACAAAAGACAGAAAAACTCAAAATCAAGCAAAGCATTGTTCAGTTCTTCTATCAGCCTCTAAGAATGATTGCCTCAAATAACCTTACATTCTATTCTCACAGCTTGTTTAAGAATCGAGAAAGCATATATTTTAGAAACCTAGTCAAATACACAATGCCATGGTACTTGAAGTGGTGAATTTCAGCTTCACAGAAAAGTCATCAAATGATGCCAGAAAAATCTAGAAGTTTCCAAATTAGTGTTGGCCTCCCAGAAAGTTCAAACCCAGGGAGCACAGACATCAGCTATGTGTCGGAGGACAGCTTTGATGCTGCATAACAAACAGCGTGATTTCACTCACACGCTGAAACCATTTTCTCGAAATCGAACTCTTATTACTAAGTTAATAGAAAAAAACTCCAATTGAACTTTGGAGGATTTTTTTCTATTATGGGAACATTACAGAGTTCAATTTGGTCAAAAATGAGCACTGAAGGCTTTCAACAATTTTCTAATGGAGCTTAAATTCACTTCTAAGAATAGTCATTATGTGATTGGCAAGGAAGGAGTACTTAATTCCTGGAAATGCGCTGATGGAGAAACGACACCTTCCCTGGCATCGGGGCCTGGAGCAGCAGGGCTGTGGTGGCCTAGATATCAGAACGATTCCCCCGTGGACGCAGGAGTGGCACACGCTCTGTTGAATCCACATATTGGGCACGCAGTGAACATTTTCCCAAACATCCTAAATTTCCTTCCTAGGACGTGAGTTTAAGCTTGTAACTGGCCTGTTCACGGGATTTGAAGGACCATCTGAGTGTTCATATTCTGACATCAAGGTGAGAACTACGGTGCATTTTATTGTGCCTTTTAGGGTACATTAATGATTGATTATTTTTCTTCATTATATCTATTGTCTTAACAACCTAACCACAGTGGATTAAAAACCCCACCTTAGAGAAACCATTTGAAACACACAGCTTTCCCTTAACTTGTGTTGAGCCAGTGTTATTCCTCCAGACCAAACTGGAAATCATAGCTCCAGGTGAAAAAGGGAAATGCTTTTCAAGTCCACCCAAACATTTTGAACGGTAACCAAGGTTAAGGATGGGTATGCTGTGAAATCAGGGTGAAGGGTCCTTGTCATTTTTCAGATTTCAAGAAACGTCTTTATAGAACTTACAAAAGAATAAGCCTTTTTCATTTCTCCTTGTAAAAAAAAAAAGTGCTGTGTGTAGGGTTATCTGGATGGGGTTTTAGATGATATATTTTGTGCAGCTGAATGGATGTTATGACAGCTGAGAGGCAGGCAACCCAGCAGCAATTGCTAGGTTGTGCCTAATACGGACTCAGGGCCCTGGTGGCGTAGGCCAGCATCTGAGTTCTCCTAACACTGTAGAAAAGGACCTCTGAGTGGGTCTGCAGAGAAGGTGGTTTTCTTACAATTTCCTTGTTCCTTGCCACTTTAAAAAATTATTTTTATGTTTATAAAACTAACATGTCCAGCCCAGAAAACTTGACAATACAAAAGAATGTGAAGAAAAAAATGAAAAATCATCAATATTTCCAGGAACCTGAGAGAATCACTCCTAACCTTGTGGGGTATTTTATTCAAGGTCTTCTCGATGTGTGATTTGTATAATTGGGATCATACAGTTTACTAACTTTGATATCCTACTTTTCCACTTCAGTTTATATCAGGAACAATTTCCTCTGGCTGATAAATTCTTATAAAACACAGTTTTAATGTCTGCACATTATTCCATCATATGGCTGCCCCATAATTTATTTATCCAGCCTCTTATTGTTGGCCATTGAGGCTGTTTTCCAACTTTTTGCCATCATGAATAAGGCTCTGGTGAAGAACTCTGCACATAAATCTTTGCTTCCTAGTACATAAGTCTTGGACACCATTTCTGATTATTTCTTTGAGATAAATTCCTAGCAGTGAAATTACTGGTATCAAAGAGTATGACTAGTTGAAAAGAGTTAATACATAATGCGACATGTCTTTCAGAAAGCTTGTACAAATTTGCATTCCTTGACTAACTTTTTTTTAAAGTGCTACTAGACACAACACAATGTGTTTTCTTGTTGCAGGAATGGGACTCCATTCAAGGATGTGGGTGAACCAAGGAAGAAAGAGCTTATTAGCTTTGACATTGGAGCCCAGGAGACATAGACTACACAGCCCAGGCCTATGGGCTGGGAAATGTTGCCCTCTACTCAGAAGGTCATGGGCTCTGCTCTCGTGAGCTGCCCCTCGTCCCTGCTCTGCCTCTACATGCATCCTATGCTACTACAGCAATGAGTATTTTTATGCAGTAATATATGCGGCTCAAGTGAGTGCTGCTGTTACTTGCAGCTCCTTGAAAGTGCCAGCTCCTCACTAACTCTCTGTACATTTCCACTTTCCAACATTTGGGCTTGGAAAACACTTCCCCACAGTGCTACGTGGTCCTCTCTGGACTTAATGCCTAAGACTCAGCACAAGCAGAGGTGGAAGTGAACAAATACTGGATGAGAGACCCAGGGGCACACGGTTTGTTCCCCCAAGTGTCTTCTGACCTAGTGAGGGAGATGAGAAGCACTCCCACGGCGGAGACAATTTTATTTTCCACGTGGATATACAGGTAGGCTGCATTTTTCAACTTCCCTTGCACCTGAGTTGGGGATTTGTGACAATGTCACTTCTGAATCTGGCCACAAAACTCCTGTAAGACCCTCCTCCCACTCTTTCTTCTTCCATAGCAACCTTGGAGGCCACATGAAGAGGGCAGTCTCACAGGATGGAAGAAGCCTGGGTCCTTCGATGATGTCGTGGAGCAGAGCCATCCTTTCCCCTCCCACTGCCACCATCAGCAATTGGATTGTGATATGAGTGAGCAATAAATTTCCTTGTTAAGCTATTGAGTTTGTGGGGGGCAGGGGGAGGGGTCGTCTATCACAGAAGCTAGTATTACTTATTCTTCCTAGGACTCTCACTGACAATTACAACATAATTGTGTGTGTGATGAAAGTTATGCTAACTTATGCAAGGAGGGGGCAGCCCCATTTGGGGATGGGAGTGGGTGATGAAGGAAGGCTTCTGGGATGAGGCTATGTTTGGACTGATTCTTGAAGGATTACAATAATAGCTAATATGCATTTGGTTCTTACTACATTCCAGATGCTGTGCTAAGAGCTTTGCCAGATTAGCCTATTTAATCCTCCCAATGACTCTCAGTATTATTGCCTTTTACATCTGGAGAGAATGAGGCCAGGAGAGGTTAAGTAACTTGCCCATAGTCCCACAACTCTCAGTGGCAGAGCTGGATATCAAATTCAGCATGTTTAAGCACTACTCTGTACTGCCAGTATGTGAGAAGGGTTTAGCCAACATGGCAGTTACTTGGAGGGAGAAGAGATGAGATGCAAAATACTTAGCATCGCATACAGGAGGGGAGCTGACCGTGGTGCTGAAGTGAAGGCCGCATACTGGAGAGCTCTAGAGGGTCCTGAAGGACAGGCCAGGGTGGGTGAGGAGTGACACTCAGGGCAGACGTCCTAGCGGAGAGGCATAGGAGAATGTGATATATTTGGGGAACCATCAGTTGTTTGTGAACCCATGCAGGGGCCTGAACATTCTAGTTTTAGTTTAAACACATGTACCCTCAAAGGCCTGTTGTCAAGTTTGTGGGGAGAGCAGCCGTGCACAGGGCTTGGCCTGTACTTGGATATGGCCTCTATGACTGGCACAGAGGATGCTCTCCCCGGATACGTGTTGACTGAACAAACTCATAAATGAAACATGCAGATACGTCATTTAGAAAATAAATGAATCAGAAGCACATACCCCATTGCCCCATTTGGCTACCTCCTTGCCTTTTCTGTTCCTAGACATCCTGACACCCAGTGCCTCATCTTTTCAGTGACTGAGGCTTTCTATTCTGGTTCAGTAACTGCAGCCATCACAGAATTAAGTAATGACAAAGTGGGTTATTATCCAGCCTGGCTTCAGCTGGGGATGGAACCTGCAGCCGAGATACCTCACTGTTGGGGTGCTCACATGACTGTCTAGGCAGTGACATGAAAAATGTCCCCCATAATTCCTTAGCTCAGAGCCATACATCCTCAGAGTCTTGACTCCACACTTCGTGGGGAATAATGTTGTTTTGTTGAGAAGGGGAAGAGGGTGTAATTAGATTCCTCTTAAATGTTACATTCATCCTTGTTAATCAAAAATTAGTAGCTCTTAAAAAAAATAAACACAACTCAGCTCCCCAGGAAGCTGATAGCAGTTCCCAGGGCCTGTTTAATTACACAGAATGAAACAAAATGTGTACTTGTGTCTCTCAACTGTGGAAATAACAAAATGAAATATAAAGGTGGCCATATCTGGGTGGTGGGGATTAGAGGTGATTTTTAATTTGCTTCTTTGTTCTGCTCTGTGTCTGTGAATTTTTCTACAATGAGCATATATTGCTCATTAAAAAAGCATTTAAAGGATTAAAAAAAGGGAAATATGAGATTACATTCTAAAAACCTGTAAACAAAAGAAATAGGTGAATACTTTTCCTAACCCCACTGCTCTCATTCCACTCCCCAGAAGTAAGTGCTGTAGTTGGCTGGATGCCTGCCCTTTCAGACAACTTCTGAGGCGTTTTCTATTTTCTTCATAACACTCACTATATCTGGAACCATCCTCTTGTTTGTTTACTCATGTATTCCCTGACCATTCCCCAAGAGGAAGGCCTTGTTTGCCTAATTCCCACTACGTCTCCAACCACAGCACCTGGCGCACAGTAGGTGCTTATTAAACAGTTGCTGAACCAACTAAAGGATGAAAGGATATGTATGGGGAGGAGATGTGCTATTAAGACCAACAGGGTCTTCCAAAGAGAGTGGGCCCCTCTTGGTCTTCTGACATGTTTCCATCTATTAGAGGTGAGCTTGAAGGTCATTGGGGGCAGGGGCTGGACAGACGTGAATTGTTCTGCAGGAGGTCTTTGGTTTTGCTCTCAAGAGAGAACAGCGACACAGGCAATAACATGGATGAACTCCCAAATAATTGTGCTGAGTGAAAGAAGCCAGAAAAAAGAGTATGTACTCTATGATATTCAATTTATATGAAACTCTAGAAAATGCACACGTATCTAGAGTGACAGGAAGCAGATCCGTGGTTACCCAGGGATGGATGGGGTGCGGGGGGGGGGGCAGGAAGGAGGACTACAAAGGGGCACTTTTGGGGGTGCTGGGTATGTGCACTATCTTGATTAGGGTGATAGTTTCATGGGTGTGTACATTATGCCAGAACTTGTCAAATTATACACTTTAAATACATGTAGTTTATTGTACGTCAATCACATCTCTATAAAGCTGTTACAAAAAGAGAATGGGGGGACTGCGAGGGGGAAATTGGAAGATAAGAAGAGTCCCATATATGCTGACATTGAGATACTTTTGGGGGATGATGTGTCCTGTGAAAAATACAGAGTGCTGGGACAGTGAGAAGAATTTGCTGTTGAGGGCTATCTGGGAGCTCAGATTGGAGTAATGTGCTGTGATGTACCTGCTTCCTCCTCTCGCCTCCAAGCATCCTCAATAAAGTGGATCACATGTACCAAATTCTGATGATGACAGTGATTACGTGTGTGTATGTGTGTGTGTGTGTGCGTGTGCCTGTGTGTGTGCAGAGGGAGAGGAAAAGGGCAATGTGATGTGTAATGACTGGCATGTACAGGATAGTGAGACAATTAAGAAACAGAAGTAACTTATCAGCAGTGGAAACCTGGAGCCAGAAGCGACAGCGAGAAATGACAGGGTCTCCTTCAACCCTCTGGAAATTGCATAAATCTTGGGGAAGACTTTGGTCTTCTCTAAGGCATGGAATCAGGATTTATCACGAGTTTATTTAGGTCTCAAGCACAGGCAGATTCCACTTGACATGTGGATGTTGCCCCTACACTCAGTGGCTATTTGTTGAATGAATATAGGAGTATTATTTTGATTTGTTCTACAACTACTGCTATTTTGAGTACTGTCAACAAGAGGTAGGATGATGATGGATGGGTCATCACTGGGGCTTAGATCACCTTTCATCTGATTGGCATGTTTCACAACACCTGTGTTTTGGGGTCTGTGTCTTACAAGTCATGCATTTTGCAAATGTTGGCTGATGGCTTGCAGTGGGGCAGGCACTGTACCAGATGTTGAGATGGAAACAGTAAAAGAGATTCAAGCCTTCCTCAAAGAGCTCGCAGTGCAGAGTAGAATACAGACGAATAAAGACACCATGATACAGGAAGGGCCGTACTGCAGGGGTCAGCAAAGTATGGCCCAAAGGCCAAATCTGGCCCCCTCCCTGCTTGTGTAAATAAAGTTTTATTGGCAAACAGCCATGCCTATTCATTGATATTATGGCTCTCACGTTTCAACGGCAGAGCTGAGTAGTTGAGACAGAGACCACGTGGCCCGCAAAGCTGACATTATTTATCATCCGACGCAATGAGGGCCCTGCTAGGGGTTTGCTGACTCCTGCTCTACTAGAAGACTATTCAGAGCAAGAAGCTGGCACCGAAGCAACAAGTTCAGGAGTTACTGACCCTGTTTGGTATCAAATCCAGCTCTCGGCGTTCCACCCTAGTGGGCTCGGTTAGGTGTAAGAGTCTTCCTCGTGCTGCCTTTGTGGGTCAGTGAGAAGCAGAATGGACCTCTAAGGGTAGCCCCTCTTTCCCAGCAGGAAGCACAATACAGATGCTCCTGGCCCTTCATCAGCTTTCTAAGGCAGCAACATCCTGAGCACCGGGTGGCATCGTCTCCCCCAAGGTGGCCTCAGGGAGATTCAGCCAGCCTGGCCAGAGACACGGGGGGGGGGGGGGGGAGGAGGGAGAGGAGAGCATCTTCTTCCATCCTCTCAGGCCCAAAGGAGAGGCTCAAATCAAAAGAACAGCATCAAGTAATAATTAACGATATTTAATTAGCCTCCATTCACGCTGTTTATTAAAGTCAGACCCTGACGGAAATCTCTTTCTAGACTTTTCAAAAAGGTATTTATTAAATATTAACCTCTGAACAGGATTCATTCTAGTCTAAAGCCTGGCTAAAAGTTGGCTTTGAAAATCATTGTTTATCTGCAATTTATTCATTAATTAAACGAAATCATATCGAGTACCTACTATGGGCCAGGCACTATTCAAGACCAATGTAGTCACTGCCCTCAAGGGGTGGATAGCCTATGGAGAGAGGCGATAGGCAGTGAACATGTGGGCAAGTAAATGCTGTCCATCCTCGTTACATGGTTGTAAAGTCGCCTCCAACACTGACCAGCCAATCCTGAACTGTTGCTCTTGGGCGAAACAGGGGTAGATTCCTACCAGCCTCCAGTCACATTTTCACCAACCCATCAATACCTAGCCTTGTTTTATGCATGTTTTTGTTTAGAGACACCTTATTTAATATATATTGTTGGCTCATTACATTGAACGCATGGCCAACAGCACTTGAACTCATGCCAGGAAGAAGATTTTCTAACATACGGGTTTTCTCCATAAGGCACATCACAGCCTCCTTGTGCTTGGGAACACCAGACAGCACTTCAGCACTGTGCTTGGGGGCCGTTTTAAACAGTGAAATCACCAACAAGTACAAAAATGTGAAAAACATGGCACCAAATAGACCTTGAAAACCATCCTTGTTTGCAGTATGAGAGCTGAAACAAGAAGGCAGAGCATCACCTCTTTCAACCTCAGTTGGGACTGTGCATGTCGAGCGACTTAAATTTTTCACTGTTCTGTGCTTGTCCGCAAATGACTGCACAATGACCTTGAGTATTTTGGGGTTAGAAATAAATTTTAGCATGCAGGTGGAATTGCAAATACAGAATCCGTGAATAACGAGGATCAACTGTGGTTCAAGGTAGAGAGAATGATCTCTGTACAGTTCCTGAGTGGGGAGGACACCTGAGCAAGGCCATGTCATTGGAGCAGAGACGTCTAGGAGAGAGAGGAGAGAGGTTGGAGAGCAAGGCCAACCAGGAAGGGCTCCCTGGGGCATGGTAGGGGGTGCGGACGTTACTCACTGTGAAATGAGAGGCAATGAAGGGCTTGATCAGGGCAGAGATGCGATCCAAGTTATAGTTTAAGAGGATCACCCTGATGCTGTGTCAATGGTGCATTATAGGGAGGCAAGAATGGAAAAAGGACACCAGTTGGGGCAGTTGCTCTTGTCTGGGTGAATGATGATGTGGCTTAGACCAAGTCTGTGCAGTGGAATTGCAAGAAATTTATAGCTTGGAGATATAATTGGAGATAGACCCACTAAGACTGGTCAATGTGCTTTACCAGTAAATAGACAATCGATGTGTTAAGTATTTCTGCAATATTTACTTTTTGAGCTAATGATGTTTAAATTTTAGACATTCAGGGCAAAACATCAAACTGTAATCACTCACCCATAGATGCTTGTTGGCAGCCGCTAAGAGCAGAGTTCATTTCCATCCCCAGGGAGCAGCTCATTTGTGGGCGTTCCATGAAGGACGCACAGATGGATGCCAGTGTGGGCTCCGAAGGCCATCTTTTCATGTTCTTCTCACCCTATTGGAGCCCCTGGTCCTCCTATCTTTACAGACTTCAAAAGAAGTCCCAGACACAAAGAATTCGAGTGAATGGAGAACAGAGATGAAACTGCCCCTCTGAACACTGACCCTCAGCTGAGTTGATGAAATAAAGGTCCCAACTCGAAGAGAATTTTAAAGAAACTTTATGGGAGCTTAAAGAACCTATAGTTTCTACTGGGTGCAGATTTTTTTTAAATGACATTTCTCCTCTTGCAAAATAAAAGAAAGAAATGCTTTCCTGTTAAAAAATTCTTTGGCATGAATATATCTCAATTTGAATTCCATCCCTTCCACTCACAAACTCTTGGACCCTCAGTATATTATGGTACTTCTGTTCCTCATCTGTAGAACAGAGATGACCACACCCAATTCAGCAGGGCCCAAAGTATTAATGAGATGATGCATGATCGGAATTCTAGTCATTATAGCTATTTTTCACATTTGCCTTTTCTGTTTCATTATGTTCTATATTTCATTCATGGTTCCTATTCTTTTTCTCTAAACATTTTAAACATAAATATTTTATACTTTAGCTTTTCTTTAATCCACAGATTTCTCTTCCTTTTCTTTGGAGCCCAGCTGTGTATTTCCACATGTGGGAGGGGTCACAGTTCACCCGACATTTCTAACTCCTGCAGAAAGGCCATCTACCCTCGCCTGGTCCACCAGGACGCAGGCCCGTACCTGGCACAGAGGATCTTCCGTGCAGCCTATTTTTTGGCTGAACACACTTTCACTCCTGCTTTTGGGAACCGCAGAGTCACAGAGCATTTCTGATGCCACCCTTTAAATTTACAGGAGAAATGGGTCAAAAGTGGACAAGTGGATTTCGCAGTGCTATGCTGAGTCATATTAGAGCTGGACGCAAAAGGAGAAATCAGTAACACTGAACCAACCTTACTTTAAAATTTGATATTTTGTTTATCATGAGTTTTTGCATTAATTTTGAGTTTAAAAAAAAATATTGCATTCAAAGATTACCTGTCTTGATGGCTGAGTTTTTTGGCACCCACTTAGAGGTTGTGCCCGAGAGGGGTGCCTCGCTCACCGCTCACCTCACCTGAGTACCAGCCCTGGTGGGAGGTCTGGGGTAGTGTGCCTTGTCCTGCCCTGAGCGTCTGCCCAGGGCCTCACCTCCCTCCACCACAGGCCATACTTCCTGCTCTGCATCCTTCCTTACCCTCAGTGCCCCGTAAAGCTCGACCTGGCCTCTGCCCCTTGTCACCTGTGCCCGTTCTGAGACAGAGATGCTCTCAGTGCAATCATTGAATGTACAAAGGTTTTTCCCTCATGTCACAAGGACCCATCCTCACAGACTGCTACTGGGGTGGCTGCAGCCTGAAAGTCTGCTGCAGGCGGTTGTCTCAGGCACTGTGGAACACGCAAATTTGTGGAAGGGGTTTGGAGGGGACGTTTGTCATTTCTGGCTGCTCATCATCCTCCATTATTCCTCATAGCATCCCAGCCTTCCTTTTGGACAAACCCCTGTTTTGTTCAGTGTTGGTAGCAGGAGGCAGCAACCCACACCCATTCTGGCACAGAGCAGCAGGAGTGGATATGGGACACGCAATTTCGCTCCAGCAAATCGGACGCTCTTCAGTGAGTGATGTGGGGTGGGGGATGGAGTCCAGGTTCCCGGCGTGGGAAGTGTGACATGAGAATCAGGCTGTTCCCTTTGGAGCAGGCCCTCCTGCCTCCCCTCCTGAGTTCTATTCAGCGGCCACTCTCTTTTTCCCAGCTTATCCTCTGGCCTCCTGTCCATTCTAGAATCTCCGACACCAATCTAGTAAATTCTTATTTTATCCCTCTTAATCTAGCCGATGCTGGTTTCTGTTGCTTGCACCCACGGATCCTGACAGACACTGGACCAGAAATAATTAGAGGTTCTGAATTGTAATGTCTCCTTTTGCTCATAGGCAATGGTCTCTTTCGCTTCATCTCGCTTCAAACATTCAACCAGATCCTAAATTTGTTTGGGTTACAGAGTCTCTGCAAGTCATGGTGTTATTATGGCATCATATGCTTTGCCAAGCATCTTAAAATATTGATAAATTTAATCCTGATGCCCAAACCAGAAACAGTTTTACTAGCAGAAGAATTGCCTATGTTATATGTACACTCTAGAAAGGCTGCAAATTCCAGCATATCTGCCCACCAAAAAGCCAAGCTGCAAAACTTCAAAAGTCAGTTGTCTGATCTGATCTTTAATAATGGCTCACTGTGCACCCATTTGCTCTGTCATCTCTGAGCTTGCATTTGGAGGCAAGCAAATGGCAGATGACAAAGCTTAATATTCAGAAACTTCTATTTGCTCCCTTCAGTTTTTCCAGCAGTGGGGAAGAGACTGCCATCATGAGATTTTAGCAGGGAGATGCCTCGGGCTGGCTTGTGGACCACCAGCAGAGCGAAGGTGGAAGCATCATCACTCCAGGGAGCTGTGACTGACTTTCACTAACATCCCTGAGTGTTTGCCTAGACTTGCTTCATTATAAGTGCACAGAGCACAAAGAGCATGGATTTTCTTCTAGGAAAACACTCCTTTCATTCTCGGAGAGCCACCTTTAGAGAATGGCTACCTGTTACACTCTTCGCTAAGAATGATCATCTTATCAATCAGTTAATAATTAAGTGCCTACTGTGTGCCAGGCACCGTGCTCTGAGCATCTTATCTGAATTATCTGGCTTATCCTTCACAGTGACTCTATAACCTAGATATTATTTCCCCTATGTTTCAAGTGAGGAAACTCAGGCACAGAGAAGTTAAATTATCTGCCCAAGGTTACACGTCTGGAAAATGGATGAATGGGGATTTGAGCCCAGGAGGTCTGGCTCTAGACTGGCAGTGAGAGCCACAGAGCCACTGGGCTGGGCTGCTTATCTTTATGAGCCCTGATGAGAGCGGGGCAGCCCCTTTCCAGGGCAGCCTCTGGAGACAAGACCAAGTCTCTGATGAAATGAAAAGTCAAGGTCTGCTTCCTCTGCATCCGTTGACGATGAGAACACACATCTTCCAGGTTGGAGGTTTTCTCATCTCCTATGATAAGTTTGGCAATATTAGGAAGTGATTTTATGAGGGAGCCTTGTTCTCTCTAAGGCACCATCTGAATAGGAGGCACAGGGAAGTGGGCCTGAGAGAAGTAAGTGGAAAAACCCGTGTGACGGAGGCAGCTGGAGGTTCATTTGTCCTCGCACACTGAGCTTCTCC